ACACGATGACTAACAGGCGCACAGAGACAGACACACACACACACACACACACACACACAGAGACATGTTCCCATGCAGTAGCTCTCTAAATGTTGATTTTCCATAGGTTTCTAGTGCTTTTTATGTATAGCTGTAACATAAAAAAAAATTCTGCATTTTTAAAGTTTAAAAACAATCTTTATTTACTTTATTTTATACTTTACAAAAAAAAAATTACAAGGTGACAATTTTGTATGAATTAGTAAAATTTGATTTGTATGAAAACGTGATTTTTTTTTAAATCGTAGACCTAAATATAACCATAAGCAGAGAGTATTCGCCAAGACATGAATAGTTATGAACTGTCATAAGAGTGGGTTTCTATTTGTATGTATATCGTTTTTACAAATGAGGACATTTATGGCATTATTTTACTGTCAAATGTCGAGAGCGCACTGTTGTAGCGCGAAAGTACATTGCTATGACGCGCAAGCGCAAATCTCTCCACTCGCACGCGGATTGCCTTTGCTCTCGCACTAAACCGGACGAGCGCTCTCAGATATGTGCTGCTCTCTCCCAGAGAGTGTGCGCACACTTAAAATGTGTCCGTTGCAATCACGAATCTCTCCTCGTGCTCAAAGTGTGCCTGGGTGCGCGCTCAAACTGTGTCCTTTGCACTCGCAAATCTCTCCATGCTCTTGCGCTAGAAATGAATTATTTTCGCACCTGGATTAAACGTTGTCAAACGTTTTAAACAAATCAGACTTCCATGACTGACCGATTAAAATGCTACGGGAAATCTAATTAGCTGGAATTCTTTTGACAATCAAAGATGGATCTTTAATTTCGTTACAATTTAATATTTAGTCATATTAATCAAAAGTATATTAGAAATGGCTGGGATTGGGGTGCTTGGATGATTTGTGCAAATAAATAACCTAATCTGTCTCTCTAACTGGTTGGTCAAACCCCTCTATAACACAATAACTGCTGTGATAGAATCGCTGTTTGGACATTTATTGGGAGTTTTTTTTCATCCAGAGTTTGTTTTCAGTTCTGATTTTAGTTAGATTTTTTTTTCATGAAAACCCACTTTATTAGCTACACTTGGCACTCTCCTCTAAGACAGTGAAAATACAGTTATATGACAGTTACATATAACTACATTGTCTGCAAATTCATTAAACCCATAGAATATAATGATGTTATGACAAATATGAGAAATTCGTTATGGTGGTAGGCCTATATATTCCACATTTTAATTATTTAGGGAATAGTGCATCTGACCCTTGATCTAAATAGTTCTGTCTTAAATCAGAAGATGTTGTATATATATTTCAACCCAATTACACAAGACATGTATGACCACTTGAACCGAATCATATAGGCTACTTTTTTTGTTTGTTTAGATAAATCGCTCAGAGAGGTTTGACCAACCAGTTAGACAGACTAGGTTATTTATTTGTACAAATCATCCAAGCACCCCATTCCTAGCCATTTCTAATATACATTTGATTAATATGACTAAATATTATTAAATTG